CACACACACACACACACACACACACACACACACACACACACACACACAGGCCCTCCAAGGAGAAAGTGCTGGACCTTGCCAAGAAGACAAAGGAGAGCGAGAGCGAGCGAGCGTGTGTTTTCAGCGACAGAAAGAGGGGAGCGCAGATACTGCGGAGCTTTCTTTTTTTTTAAATTCCACATTTTTTACGATTCTCGGATCATAAACACTTCAGGAGTTGCTCATATAAACATGCACTTACGAGGATTTTCTCTTTTACTGGCATACCTTCTCAACACCACGCTCGGCAGCGCATTGAGTCACAACGACTATTATGAATACTACGAGCAGGAGCAGCTGGATGAGCCGGTGAGTGTGAAGCTGTTTGAAAGGAGCGCACGTCTCTGCTTACGGTAAAGTTTCAGCTGATGCAGTCAACGTCCAGTGACTCAGAGATGGCGTTCCCACTGAATCACAGTATATTATCAACTTTGTTCACGCTGTGGATATTTAGGGATTAACGTGATCAGCTGAATATCTCATTCATTTTGCGTTCATGAAGGGATCAGGAATGAGGTGCAGGGTTCCCTATGTGACTCTGGTTCCTGTTGCTTAAGAATGCAGACAGTTGTCTTCACTGACATTTTGTTAGTTTAGAATAGACAGAACTCTACACATGTGTCACTCATGCATGAAGATGTGTATCCGAACAATACAGCAATATCTAAAAAGTAAAATCGAGAGTAAATATAGAAAGAAAACCTTGTTGTTGCATTCTTTAACTGTGTTTTAAGCTAGGGTGGGAGTGGACTTCCAAAGACTATGAAATATTCCCGCTGTTGTCCAACTGAAAGTTAGTATGGATGAAAGATGGACTGGTGATCTCTCTCTGTCTTCTCTTGCCCCTGTTTTCTTAAAGATTCTGGGATCAAAAATCAGGAGAAAAGCAAGTTTATGATTTGCAGCCATTCAGACTTTGACTAGTTTAGTATTAGTATTTAAGAGACCTAGAATATTAAGTGAAAGCTTAGAGGAGTCAATAATGTCAGTCTCACATGTAACTTTATTTACTGGTCTCTTAAAGGAAATAACTGCTCATCATAAGAGTTAACACCAATACTAACTATCCCAGCTGTTCACGCTGGTACAGCTGTTTTTCTGTTGACAACTATCTATATCCAACATAAACTTCTGCCAAATCCCAAACTCAGGGAGCAACCCACTGTGGTGACCTCTTGTGAGCAGCCAAAAGTAGCTTCTTCTCTTCTACGGTATGTGGGATATTGTTTGTTTAGCCTAAAAGTTCACTTTTATTTCTAAATCAAGTTGAAGTCTTTGCATATTGCAGAGAATTTATTTGCACAAGTAACTGAATGGACAAGAATATTCAAGTTTTTTTGAAACACAAATGATCTCTTCATCTATTTGTGGGTGGGCTATGTTAACAGGAAGGGACAGTGGCAAACAGTAGTGAACCAGCGACAGGGACAAGGCTCATTGATTTCATGTGGGGGTGAAGGCTGGCTTGTGTGGGCCAGTCCAATTGATTTGACAAACTTCATGCTGGTTCTGATAGAAAGGTGTCAGAATACCCAGTGCATTGTAGTTTGTTGCGTATGGGACCGCACAGTGGCAGACCGGTCCCATGCTGACCTCTGTCCACAACCGAAAGCAACAGTGGAGGCAGTGTGATATTTTGGGCTACGTTCAGCTGAGAAATCTTGGGTTTTGTGGCTGTTACTTTGAAATGTACCACCTACCTAAACATTGTTCCACACCATGGACACCCTTTCATGAAAACAGTATTTTCCGATGGCTATGGCCTCTTTCATCAGGATAGCGTGTCCTGCCACAAACCAAAAATTCCCCAGATTCCACAGATATCGATTGGATCCCATAGACATTTAATCGAGCATCCGTGGGATGTGCTGGAGAAACAAGTCCGATCAATGGGGGCCCCACCTGGCAGGAGTTCAATGATCTGTTGCTAACATCTTGGTCCCAGGTACCGCAGCACACCTTCAGACGTCTTGTGGAGTCCATACCTTAATGGGTCAGAGAGATTTTGCCAGCAAAACGGGGACCAACACAGTATTAGGCAGGTGGTCATAATGTGCGTGATCAGTGTATATAGTTCATTCCATCTTGACTCAACACTTTTTCCCCCTCATCTCAGTACCATTGGTTATCATGGAACAGGTTCTTAGTTTTAAAATTGGTAGTCAGACAGTTAGACAGGCAGGGCTAATAAAAAACACTTAATTACATTCTGGGATGAGTAGGGTCCATTAGCAGATAAAAGCCTGGATGTATTTCATTTGCTACCGGTGTACATTCTTCCAAATGTTTTTCAGTTCCACAAAATCCTGACATCCATTTTTTTATTTTCTCAGTTATCTCTGTTTTCATTCCAAGTTTCAGTCTTTGGATAAAGACAAGAGAAAACAAAAGGCGTTAGTAATAGTGATCAGAATGAGAAGCCTGGCTCCTCAGTTTGATTTAGTCTTTTTCTGCCAAGCGTCTAGATCTGAGAGGTCAAGGAACACAGAAACACTGATTTCATGCATTGGTTCATGAACCAGCATCTTTTTTTTTTTTTTACATAGAGGATCTTAACTGGCTTGTGTTAAATTGCTATTATAATAATAATGGATTGCATTTATATAACGCTTTTCGAAACCCTCAAAGCGCTTTACAATGCCACTATTCATTCACTCTCACATTCACACACTGGTGGAGGCAGCTACAGTTGTAGCCACAGCTGCCCTGGGGCAGACTGACAGAAGCGAGGCTGCCATATCGCGCCATCAGCCCCTCTGGCCATCACCACTAGGTGGCAGGTGAAGTGTCTTGTCCAAGGACACAACGACCGAAACTGTCCGAGCCGGGGCTCGAACCGGCAACCTTCCGATTATAAGACGAACTGCCAACTCTTGAGCCATGATCGCCCTTGACCATACATACATACCTGTTGAGTGTTACAGCAATAGTTGGACTAATACACCACCAAAAAGCTGCCAGCAACACAGATTGAACTGAATGAACAGAGGAACTGGAGGAGAGGAAGGGAACATTTTTCAGGGCAGCAGGGGTGGGTAGCTGTAGGGATTAGGAAGAGGTATTTTCAAATTAGCCACAGAAAAGAGCCAATGGAGGCAGGTGTCACAGGGGTCAAGGGTGTTTGTGTGTGTGGGTCTGGGTGGGGGGCCTTTCACTGTGTCTGATGAGGGTGAGGTGGCAGAGATAAATGCTGAGCAGTGGCATGAAGTCATGTGATCTCAGGGTATTGTAAGCTGCAATGATGAGTTTCTCTTGTAGCTCTGGCTGTTACTCTGAGAAGTTTCACCAAGTCATCCCTGCTGTCAACCTTTTCAAGACAGACTGGCTTCTTGCGTTTTCTTTCCCTTGCTAGTTGCTGCTAAGCACCAAATTTAACATAATCAGATTTTTGATTGCTCAGACTTTAACTGAGCAATGTTGTCCAAGTAAATTACCCCAAGCTCTTCCTTTCTCCTGTTTCCTTGAGGCTGACAATGCTGCTCGGGTGGCAGTCCTTAAAGTCATTCAGCTGTTGTCAGTGAGGCAAACTCCAACTCCACAGTGCTGGACTGCAGCTGGCACTGCTACTTCTTATTATTTTCTGGAAACTTGCCATGGGTTACTTTAAGTTGAACCTTCACCAGATGGAGAACTAGTTCATGTTCATGTGCAACTTTGCAGTGCCCACTGAACCTACAGAAAAAGGACTGCTGTTGTTTCCTACAGTTTTACACATTGCTTTGGAGCTCATCCATGGGATTTATATATTAAGCTGTGAAGCGTAATGAATATTGGAGCCTCTATTGGAGCGCTCCCTACTAGGTATCTTTTCTTCTAAGACAGGGGTGTCAAACTCATTGTACACTGTGGGCCACATACAGCCCGATTTGATCTTAAGCAGACCAGACAAGTGAAACTCCTCTTATGTGAGTGTAAACAAATGGCCTATTTAACTGTTTTTCTACATGTTAAAGAAAAAGCTCTTAAACTTCTGGTAGGTCATTGCTCAAACTTTCAATTTTTTTGTTGATATTGTTCTTTTTTAGCTGTAGTCATAAAACAAACAGATTTCTGTTGTAGAAAGTGAAAAACATAAACTTTCCTGAGAGGTAGAGCCGTGAAGGAAGTGCAATTTTATCGGCAGCAAGACAGCCAAAGTAAGATCTTTTTGCAGAATCTGTTTACCTGCTCTTTAATTGTTTGCTGTTTTTGCTGTTTGGTGGTCGCTGAAATGGCTTTATGAGCTTTTAGCTGAGATTCTAATGTTTCTGTGGATACCATACACATCTGTATTTTAAAAATCAGATCTGGCGGTACATCACGTCAAACTAGAAGTTCTCCCTCTTGCCCCTGCTACCGGGGGCATTGGGGTTCAAACAATCCAAATGCATTTTGGGAGATGTAGTTTATAGTCAGTGTGCGCTTTTAAACACCATATAGTAAACGTATTTTAAGACAATCATGCACATGCTCTCATGGGCCACATTTTGCTGGCAGGCCTTAAGTTTGACACGTGTTCTAAGATGTGATCTAGAAGAAAAAACATGTTTAACTCCTTGCAAGGAATGTGCGTGTGTGCGTGTGCATGTGTGTGTGTGTGTGTCTGTGTGTGAGACATTATAATGCACACTTGTGTATCATCCTTCCCTGATTCATTTGACTTACTACATTTGGCTTGGTCTTGAAGGAAGGATTCCCAGTGGGCCTGTCCAGTGAATCTTGTTGTCATTTATCTTTACCAGTTTCCAGTTAGCTCCTCTTTGTTTTTACCTCTCCTCCACGTTTTCATTGGCCCACAAGATTTTAACTTTATTTTTTTTGCTTGATAGCTTTATATATATATTTTAAGTTAAACCCTATCAACCTACTGATCACAAAAACAATTTCAGAATATAAATAGTGTTGCAGGGTAATAATAACACATTACACAAACCCACTCCTGGAATAACAGATGAACGTTTGTTTTTTGTTTGTTTTTTTTTAACCACAAATTGAAATACTGCACGTGCTAGGGACTTTTAACAAACACATTAAAGGCCAAATTTGTTGTTACTGGCAGCATACTGGGCATTAATTTACAGCGTGCTAAATGTTAGCACATTGAAATTAGTTTTTACTGAGACTTTCAGTGGAACTACTCTCACCGTGTGGTTCTGGCTAGAAGGCATTCAGTTGCTTTTATATTAAGTAAGGGTGCAATTAAAGATTATCTTGGTAGTCAACTAATCTGTCAATTATTTTTCTGACTGGTCAGTGAGGCGGTGATTAGGTCCAGAACGTTTTGACTTTCATTTTTTGGAGGTCATCTCCTTCCGCCGAGGCATACTGGT